TATGTTTAAACTGCTATTGAAGGCCTTATCGGCGGCCGAATTAGAAACCGATTGATGTTTTAAGACCGTCATAATTTAATGTGATTTTATGGTATAATTATCTGAAAACTGATTAGGCATGATTAAATTAGATTAAAATAAGCTAATTAAAGAGTTTGGTTATTTACCATATTGCCACCCTTAGTGGCACACTACCTAGTGATGCTAGAGCCTTGCATCCTTGACTCAAAACATTTCCATCAGCCATTTCTCCTGAGCTTAGCCGACCATGAGAGGAGAGTTAGAGAGAGAGAGAATTGTTCTTGTTGATTTGGCTTGAATTGCTTGGAATTGAAGTGTAGATTGCTAAATTGAACCTCTAGACTTGCATTCGAGGAACCTAGGTATGAATTTCATCCTTTTGATTTGTTCTTAAGCTAGTTTCTTGCATGATTCATGCTTCATTTGTAGAACTAAGTCATGTTTTGGTTCATTGTTGTTGAAATGGAGCTCAATCCTTGCATGCATGGTTGTATCATAGATGTTGAGTTTGTTTTCATGGCAAAATGTTACATGCATGTTCACATTTATGTTTAAGCCCATGATTTCATCATGTTTTGGAAACAATTGGCTCCTTGGAGCATCAAATTGAAGCTTTGATTTGGTTTAAATCCTTGCATGTTTGCATGTTCTTCAAATTCTTGAAAATGGGTTTGAATGTGGTTTTAATTGACTCACCTTTGGGGCTTGAATTCATAAATTGAGCTTTGAAACTTGTTATACATTGAATTTAGTTATATTTTCCAGAATTTGGGCCCAAGAGGTCGAGTTTGGAGTGGTAGAATGCTGGTTTGAGCTTGGGAGGCAAATCTGGAAATTCCAGATTTGGCTTCCTCGCTCGAGCGAAGGATTCCCCGCTCGAGCGAGAACCTTTGTCCAGGGCTCCGCTCGAGCGACCATCGCGCGTAAAATCACAGCATCCAGTATTTTTACTATTTCGACAGACCGCTCGAGCGAAGGATTCCTCGCTCGAGCGAGCCTTTGATTTTGGAAGCCCGCTCGAGCTAAAGGAAGTCTCGCTCGAGCGAGTTCCTCTTTTCAGCAAACTTTGCAAAATGTTTTCTAAGTGTATTTTCGCATCCTCATCCCATCCTAGGCATTCTTAGGCCTAGTTTAAGACATCTTAATGGGGACATCGATGTAGAACACACCAAGGCAAATTAGGGATTAAGTTATGATATTTCCCAACTGTGTAGCTTAGTGTGTTCAACCTGTGAACTGTGTAGGTTGGCGACTGGGGAGACGCGCTCTAGCATACTGTAGCCCAAACTCTGTGAGTAACGATTGTGTAAAGATATGTTCACAAATGATTATTTCTGAACAACTGAACTGTACTGTTTTCTGAACTGATTACTGTTAACTGAATGAATGTATGTCCTTTATTTCTGAACTGTACTGTTTTCCCTGAAAATCAAGGACACACATTCTCAATTTAAGATGTCTTAAACTAGGCCTAAGAATGCCTAGGATGGGATGAGGATGTGAAAATACACTTAGAAAACATTTCGCAAAGTTTGCTGAAAATAGGAGCCTCGCTCAAGCGAGACTTTCTCCGCTCGAGCGTAAGTCCAAAATCAAAGACTTCGCTCGAGCGAGGAATCCTTCGCTCGAGCGGTCTGCAAAACAGTAAAAGTACTGGATGCTGAGATTTTACGCGCGATGGTCGCTCGATGGTCGCTCGAGCGGAGCCCTGGACAAAGGTTCTCGCTCGAGCGGGGAATCCTTCGCTCGAGCGAGGAAGCCAAATCTGGAATTTCCAGATCTGCCTCCCAAGCTCAAACCAAGCATTCTACCACTCCAAACTCGACCTCTTGGGCCCAAATTCTGGAAAACATCACTAAATTCGATGTATAACAAGTTTCAAAGCTCAATTTATGAATTCAAGCCCCAAAGGTGAGTCAATTAAAACCACATTCAAACCCATTTTCAAGAATAACATTCAAACATGTCATGCATGAGTTTTAAACCAAATTAAAGCTCCAAAGCTTGATCAAAGGAGCTCATTTCTTTTCAAACCAGTTGGAAACATGGTCTATAACAACAATATGAGCATGCATGCACTAATGTCCATGTAATCAACCTCAAAATGCAACAATACCAACATGCATGCAAGAAATGAGCTTCAATCCACCATTAATGCATGAATCATGCAAGAATGGATTCTAAGACAACAACAAGAAGATGAATGTCCTACCTTAGTCTTGTATCCAAGGTTTAGGAGTCCAATTAGGCAAATCTCCTATGATCTCTTCAAGCCTTTCAAGCCAATTCTCTAGAACAATTCCACTCTCTCACTTCCTCTCTCTCTAGTTCGGTGGTGTGCTCAAAATATGGCTGAGGAAATGTTCTTCAAGTGTGTACATACCAGGCTCAAGTATATGTATTGAGATAGTGGCCCACTCATGTGGCAAAATGGTAAATATGGCAAACTCTTTAATTGGCTTATTTTGATCTAATTTATTCATACCTAATCAGTTTTCAGATAATTATACCATAAAATCACATTAATTACGACGATCATAAAACATTAATCAGTTCCGGATTCGGCCGCCGATAAGGCCTTCAATTAGCAGTTTAAACATATAAACATGAACAGATAATCAGACAATCAAACAGATAGAATGCAATTAACTAACATATACTCAGTCAATTCAGTTTCAATTTCAGTCAGTCAGTTCAGTATTTCATTCAGTTCGATTATCAGTCAGTTATCAGTTATTATCAGTTTCGTTTAACAGTAATCGGTGATTATCGGTAATCGGTCAGTCATTAATCAGTAAACAGTATGAGGGTTGTTACAGTCTCCCCTCCTTATAAAGAGTTTAGTCCTCTAAACTCGAGTTACCTTCATTCTGGAAGAAAACAGGATTCAGTGGAAACAGTTCAGGATATCGTTTAGCCATGTCATCTTCCCTTTCCCAAGTGGCATACACGCCACCATTCAAACATGCATGCATGAAATGAGCTTCAATTCACCATTAATGACCCAAATCATGACTTAGCTCTACAATCTATCCTGGACCATGCAACAATCAACTCAAAACATGAACAAGAAGACAATGGAGCTACCTTTAGTCTTGTAGTTCAAGAAGGGAGCTCAAATATGCAATCTCCTTAACAATTTCTTCAATTTCCAAGCAAAACCAAGCCAAAAGAGGTGAAATCTAACTCTCTCCCTTAACTCTCTCCCTCTAGTCGGCAAAAGCAAGAAATGAGCTGAGCAAAATGTTTGATTCAAGCATACCAAGGCTCTAACATGTTATAATAAGGGCCCACTAACAATGGCAATAAGGTAAATAGAGCAACTATTGCAATTAACTTATTTTAATCTAATTTAATCATACCTAATCAATTTTCAGATAATTATACCATAAAATCACATTAATTCTGAGGATCATGGAACATCAATCGGTTTCTAATTCGGCCGCCGATATGGCCTTCAATTAGCAGTTTAAACATATAAGCATGAACAGATAATCATACAGTCAAACAGATAGAATGCAATTTAACTAACATATACTCAATCAATTCGGTTTCCAATTTCAGTCAGTCAGTTCAGTACTTTAATCAGTTCAATTATCAGTCATAATCAATTCAGTTTAACGATAATCGATGGTTATCGGTAATCAATCAGTCATAAGTCGGTAAACAGTATGAGGGTTGTTACACCCAAGCCTAGGAGATAGTTGGGCCTTGGGTGAGCCGGGCCTCGGGCTTGGACTCGGGCTTGGGTGGGCCTAAATAAAATTTTTTTTACTAAAATTTCATTATTTTTCACACAAAAAAACACTGGGCCTTGGACGAGCCTTGAGTAACCCTTACGCAGGCCGATGGGTCGAATCGGGCTTCAAAATGATGGCTCAAGCCTAGGCCCAGGATATGAGGTTGGAACAGGCCTAAACGAGCCCGCCCTTGCTTGAGCCATTTTTTCACTCCTAATCTCTTCCTATGTGACATCGGTTCCACATGACAAATGTCCACTCCTAGTAGAAAGTAACAAAAAATAAAAAAAAAATCTAAAAATCTAAAAATTAATTGCATAAGACATAAAATATATATGGAAAAACAGAATTATTCAAACTTAAATTTACTAATAAATTTTATAAAATTTTATTTAATAAGTATGTTCTATATTTTATTTTATGTTTAATGTATATGTTTTTGTTCGTATTTTTGTATTTGCGAGGTAGCTGATTAAGGAAAGTATTGGTTGCTCTTGAGACATGATATTTCACCAGTATTGTAATTAAGAAAATGTGTGAAATTTAAAATTTTATAATAAGTAATTAAAAAATATAATAATTTATGATTAATAAAAATTACCGTCACGTGACGCTACGACCAACCAATTATTTTCCCATTGAATGACCTACAAAATAATATCAAAGTTCATATAAGGCGTACCTTTCCCTCAACTAATCACCGTTAAAGCGTCGTTGACTTACAGTGTAAGACAATCCAACGGCTGAGAACTCAGGTAATCGTACTCAGGAAAGGAATAGATAAAGAAGTCGCATCAAACGCGTTAATTCTGAACACCATAGCGATTCTCCCACTGACCATAAATTATTATCGTTTTCATATTTTTTAATCACTTAGCAGAAATTGGGATCTCACATTGTCTGCCCTGACTCACCAATGACCCTTCCAAACGCTGGACCCTCCGAGAAAGAGCAAGGATCCTCTAGAGTGATTTTTCTCTAAAGTTTCCTAGAGTGCTCTATTGTGTGGTTGAGATTTATTGGCAAGTCACATCAATTTTTCTGATGTGACTTGCCAGTAAATGAACGGTTCGGATTATCAAAATTGGGCCTAAAAGTAGACCCGAAGGCCTGCAAGAACGGGCGCAAGTACAAGAGCCGCAAGGAGAGGATCCTCATTCCCTTCCAAACGCTGGACCCTCCGAGAAAACCTCACTCAAAGTCACTTTTTTTCAACTCCCCATGTCTCTCTCTCTCCTCTCTCTGTGGGTCTCTCTCTCTATATATAGAGAACATTGGTGGTGGGGAGTGAGTGAGCTCCATTGGGCACAGTGCACACCAACAACCTCCACTCTAGAACGAGATCACAGCTTTCGCTCTGCTGTTCTTGTCTCTCTCTCTACACATCTCGCTTTCAAAGTGTCTTTCATCGAAGCTAATCAATTCTTCAACTCACTCGGTATCACTCTTCAAAAACACGCTTTGAAAGCCATACATTTCCAGCTAATTCATTGAGCTTTTGAGAAGACTCAGAGTAATGAGAGAAGTTAGCATTTGAATCTGGTAGTGATTTGAGGTGAGAGAGAGAGAGAGAGAAATGACCAACGACGGTGCGATTCATTCTTCTACTGCGGCACCGTACAATTTGGCGGAGATCTGGCCGTTTCCGATCAATGGCGGTGAGTCTGGCGGCGGCGGTTTGGACTTGAGGAGGGTGCAGTTCGGGCAAGGGTTAGGTCAATTTGCGGAGAAAGCGAATCGAGAAGTTTCCGGTGGTGATGATCCAATGTTTCTGGATCATAAAGGGGCTCAGAGCGGCGGTTCCAGGAAGCGCCGTGATGTTCCTGAGGATGAATCTGCCATGGCTGTTTCGACTAGCTCTGGCAATGGCATGGTACTTTATCCACGTAATTCAATTTGCAATCTTATTATATATATATATATATATATGTTTACTTTACTATATATCTATCTAGCTTTGTTCTCATTGACTTTATAGTATTGTTCAACTTTATTTGTGATTTGGATAGTGCTCACGATCACTGTATCTGCTTGGTGAAATTGCTGATGGAATTAGCAATTGTACCTATTTAGTGATCTATACAGGAATGCTGGACAATTACAAGAACGGTAAATTTCATTTTTATCCCTTAAATTATCACTATTTTGTCTATTTCATTCTTAAACTATTTATTTAGTCCTCAAGTTTCTGATTTCAATTTTCAATTCATGTAATCCAATTGGAGACAAATTTGCAAATGAGGAAATATAATTTGCAAATCAGTAAGGTTATTTCAAAATTTGAACAAATTAACTATACAACTAAACACCCATCAAATTGGTTGTAACTTAAGGTGTATAGTTTTTTCAAAAAAAAAAAAAAGGAGTATGTAGTTGTATGATTTAAGTTGTTTGAATTTTAAAACGACTTTTTTGTCCATCAAATCAAATTTCAACGGTTACGGATTTGTACAATTGTCTCCAATTATATTACATGAATTGAAATCAAAAAATTTAAGGACTAAATAGATGAAATTGATAGTTTAAGGATGAAACTTTAAAAAATGGCGATAGTTTAGAGGATAAAAATGAAATTAGGCCATATAAGAGTGAAACTGAATTTTGTTCTGGATTGTTTATGGGAATAAATTTCACCTATTTGAATACTACATGAAGATTTGTAAGTCTTAACAGTGCCAAGTTTTGGTTCAATTGAACAGAATGATTGTGATGGTAAACGCATTAAGACAGGGGGATCTAGAGATGAATATGGTGATTCCAAAGCTGAAGCAGAAGCAAATTCAAGCAAGCCAGTGGAGCAGAATACAAAACCACCAGAGCCACCACCGAAGCAAGATTACATCCACGTGCGAGCAAGAAGAGGCCAAGCTACCGATAGCCACAGTCTAGCAGAAAGGGTAATTTACGTCATCCCTTTAACTCATATTTTGAAACAATTTTTGCAGTACCCAACCATAATAACAACACCAGTCGGCCTATAATTAATATTACTTTAAACAAGATTTTTTCTAATTGAAGCTGTTTGGTGGACAGGCTAGGAGAGAAAAGATAAGTGAGAGAATGAAAATTCTACAAGATCTAGTCCCCGGTTGTAATAAGGTGGGCTTTGGCATTTCTCAAACTTTATCTTATAACATAATTATTTGAGTGTGCTTCTTTATAATAGTTTTTTTTTTTTGCTAAAATTGGACTTCCTGCTCTCTTTTATTGTTGCTTTTTTAGTAGTTATTTAATCATTTCTAGTCATAATATGTGCACTTGTAAAACTTGCCAAGGAACAAGTTCTAACAAATGACTAAAATGACTACAACTAACCAAGACACTTTGAATGAGATTGATGGCTAAAGTAACACAACTGGAGAGGACAAACTGCAACCAGACAAGACCAATCTCATTGGATTGTGCAAAGAAGGCTAATATTGGATTGCACCTGCAGACTGCTATGTGCTCTGCTGTTTTCTTTATAAAAACTAGCAGTAGGTGCAAATGCAATGCATACACAATTATGCATTTAAACTTTTGGGCAGCTTCATAAATCGTTTAACAGCTTTTGAATGAGCAAAACAATTTAGCAGTTTTGGATGGTTTGATGAATGAGAAAAACTATTCAACAGTTAAGTGTGGCAGTTTTGGAAGTGGAGGGCATTTTTGGAGAAAGAAAAAGCGTGTCAGCGTTCATCCCAAATGGGTTGTACGCTTTATATAATAGAATAGATAAAGTGCTTATGCAATTGGAGTTCTTCTTCCCTCTTCATTTATGTTTTTATTTTTTATTTGAACCCTTGGTTTTGGATGATGAAATTGATGTTCCATTGTCTTTCATTTTTTAAAAATTTTTTTTCCCTCTTTTATACAGGAAAATTTCCTATCTTGTCATCTTGCACTTGCATTCTTCTTCTTGAGTTGGCTTTGTAATCATCTTTTCCTGCCCAAAAATTAAAAAAATAAAAAATCAAACAAATCATCTCTTTGATAAACAAAATAAAAAAATATTAAATTTTATAACTTGTATACCAATCAGTCGGAGAAGTCCCTTAACTGGTTTTGGTATTTTTGTTAGAACTTGTGGATATACACCAATTCACCTCAATGTTTGTTGTCAAAATATTGTCTGTGACAAAGCTTTATTTGGATTCAGGTCATTGGCAAGGCATTGGTCCTTGATGAGATAATTAATTACATCCAATCACTACAGAGTCAGGTTGAGGTACACATACTTCTTTTCACCATGGTTTACTGCACTATTAAATTTGAGGTTTTCCCTATTGATCTTGAACTTATCGGACAAATTACTTGCTGTTGTAGTTCTTGTCAATGAAGCTTGAAGCAGTAAATTCAAGAATGAACCCTGACATAGAAGGATTTCCACCCAAAGATGTGAGTTCTAATTATCCATTTCTTTTTCTCTTTCTGGGTATGTAAAGCATGAGATATATATAATAAGCCAATATCATGTTTCAGTATGGTCAACAAACATTTGACGCTGGTGGCGTGGCGTTTGGTTCACAAGCTACAAAGGACTATGACCGGGGATTATCACCAGAATGGTTACATATGCAGATTGGTGGTGGCTTTTAAAGAAGGATGAATGACATATTTTAGATACAATCTTCATCGATTGAAAATAAGAGCATTACGAAGTCATGCTTCGCCCTTTAGTTCACCAAAAGATATACCCCATTCATCATGAATCAGAGAAATTCCTCATTTCTTTTTCTACATCGGAGCACAGTGGAGCTGTGGTTACTCTTTCAGGACAATTGAAATACAGATATAAACATCTCCATTTCTTTGGGTGTCAGAAAATGAATTTTATTTTTATATATTTGATAGCATGTTTCATTTTCTCTGTTCCAATATCTAAACAAACTTTCTTAAGAGACTGTGTTATACTTGTAGAATTGCCTATTTGGAATCAGCATTGGGTGTATTAAGAAGCTGAAGGTTCATGAAATAAGCAATTTATTATTTTCTTTTCAGAGTTGGTGACTTTTTTTTTTTTTTTTTTTTTTTTTTTAAATCTATATAACCTCAAAGTGCTTAATTTGCAGATCATCTATTATAATGATGCGTTTCAACTGAATTGTGTTGTTTTATTTGTTTAGTTATATTTGGATCTTAGATTTGACAAGATAAAAGAAAATTTCAAATGAAATAGAATTACGTATACATACTCAGTTTTGTAGGTAACTAAGCAAAAATAATAATTTTTTGATAAATATGTATTTATTTTCTTGTCTTTTGAAAAGGAATATAAGATAAATGGAAAATGTGAGAACTTTGCAATTAGTTGCAGTGGGCATAGTTCTCACTTATATGAAACACAATTCTCACTTGCATTCCAAAAATTGCAATTAATTTTTTATATTTTCTATTTATATGATATTCCATCTCTCAAAAGAAAATTTACCTCATTTTCTTTTTCCTATCTTTTATATTTCGTTTTATTTTTTCTTTACAAATTCAAGATCCAAGATATTCACTTCCCGAGGCGATAGATGTCAATGATGCTTGGATAAAGATGTTCTCAATTTATAATGCTTGGATAAAGATATTTTATTTATCACTCAGTAATTTTCTCTGTAAAAAGCATATACAATCCACTCAACAAGTAAACATATTTTAATCGAGGTTCATTTTAGATGTACCCTATGCAATTATTTATTGACTATCTCGTTTGTCAATTTTAAATTTTAGTTAAATAGTTATTATAAATTGTTATACTATTCTTTCTATTTTTTTTTTATAAAAAGTCAAAAAAATATTAAAATAACCTATTTCTAAATGAGACAAATCAAAAAATACACATCTCAATAATTAATATTTTTAGATAAATTATAAATACACACTTGAAATTTGCTTAAAATACAATTTGTCCAAATTTGTTTAAAATATAATTTGTAAAATTATATCCCACCCTTTGAATTTTTAATTTCATAACAAATGATTATTTTTATTAATAAATCATTAAGTCCATTAATTATTTTTCATGATGTCATAAATTTATTTAAATTAATAATTTATGTAATTTTATTATTATATAGAAGAACAGTTACGATTTATTATTATTATTATTGTTAAATAATTTTTTTTAATAAAGGGATATTTATAATTTTATAAATCACATAAAATAATTTATATTTTAAGCAAATTTTAAAAAGTATATTTATAATATATCCTTTATTATTCTAATAACAAAAATAGGTTACTCACTAAATCGGGTTCCTCTATAATTCTTTATTCTCTCCTCTCTTATGAAAAAAATAGTATTGGTTATTGCCTAAAGTAGTTATGTGTTGTGAGAGAATTGGGTTTAATTATGATCTAAAGTAATCATAGCAATGAGAAATGTGATTTAAAAAAATCTAAATAAATAAAAAATAGAAATAAATTACTAAGAAGTTACAAAATTAATTTCCAAACGAGTACTTTAATCTCTAATCATGTCAATATTAATTATTGATAAGTTTAGAAATCAACTAATTAAGATACCATGTCCTATCTTGTTTAGATAAATAAATTAAAAAAATATACTATATATTTTAGTGCGTCTAAGCATTATTATGCATGTAGGTTTTTATGTGGTGCTTCTAACGTGGTTACAGTTAGCCTGATATCTCGTCACCCTAACGCCAAAGCTTTTAGATTTTCATAAAAAGCGAAACGCAACCCAAAAACACCATAATAACAATTTCAAAGCTTGAAAACAACGCAATGGCTGAGAATGGAGAACACAAGTTACGGACGAGGAATTCACGATTTTGATTAAATTTGTGTAAAGACGTCATTGTTGTGGCATAATCGTTGAAATCTATCTTCAATTTCAATAAGCGGTAATGTTTTCTTCTGCAATTAGATGCTATACGACGAAGAAGAACGGATCGAATTAGGTCTGAGGAATTTGGGAGAAGATGAGCGGATCTAGTAGATCGGGGATTGAAATGGCGGACCGAGCCCCGCCCTCTCGCACCGTTACTCTCGGTCGTGTCCAGCCTCAGGCCCCTTGTTACCGCACCATCTACTGCAATGATCGAGAGTCCAACCTCATGGTCCATTTCAAGGTGCATTTCCTTTCTCTCTCTCTCTCTCTCTCTCTCTCTATATATATATATATATAAACATACTACCTTGTTAATGTACACTAAACCTAACCCACTAACCTAACCCACTACATCCACCCCACTAAACCTAACACACTTACCATCTCCACTACCACCCACCACCTCCACTACCATCCACTACCACCACTCACTTACCTCACACCTCTCCTATATAACAATCTTGTAACAATACAATCAATAATAATACATCAGTATTTTACATATTGTGATTTCTTTTTCTTTGATTCATTTTCTCACTACTGCAATTTGATGTATGACATTCATTTGCACAATTCAAACGATCGGGAATTCTATGTTGCATATACCACTAAAATGGGTAATAGTAAGCAATGTTACGCTATTTTGCAGTGTACGAATCTATATACACCCTGAAGTGAAAGTTAGGAAACCATTGTGGGTTAAATGTCACGTATCACATTGTTTTGTTGCTATGTTGATTTAGGATTCTTTTGAAAATTGATTTTTTAAAGTAATTTTTTTTGACTTTTTCTAAAAAGACGGGTAGGAATATAGATAAAAGCCAATGAGTTCACTTTTTGGATTAGTTTTTTTGGCTTTTTGACTATTATTTTAGCCAACTGCCAAACATGGCCTTGGACTAATAAAAAATATAGTGTGGATAAACTGGAGGTAGTTTTTAGTAGGAGCTGAGATTATGGCACAAAAGTAAAGTACGGAGATTTTACGTATATATGTATATTAGGCGATAAGAAATTAGTGGCATACCCATATGCAATCTTAAAACACATCTGAAACTTGTGAGTTGTAAGTAGGCTTTTAATCCCCATGTACAAGAAAGTTTTTTGGTTATACCCATTGTACTCTTTTCTTCATGTTGTTTGTTGTCTGGGATTAATTGTTTCAGGGGAATTCAATATCAACTACAAAGTACAACATTCTTACTTTTCTACCAAAGGGGTTGTTTGAACAGGTAATCTAGTTCTCAGCCTCCCAGTTATGAGAATAATAAATTAGTTTCCTTGCTATTACTCCTTAGTCCTTACATTATTATTGGGAGTAGGGGATACGCCACCCATCTGTTAGTATATTAGAACATGAACCATGAATTTTTAGGGTGCATGAAGGTTTGAAATATTAGATGTGATAGGTTGTAGGCATAATTGGCAAGACAACCTTTTTTCCCTCCTATTTTTTATGTGAAACTCATTCCTTTACTTGAAAACCTGTTTTGGAAGGTGGGATAGAACTTCTGAAAAGGAAAAAGGGGTGGAAACCTTTTGAAACTATTTTCTTTTAAAAACCCTTCACAGAAAAAAAAAATATATGTTAGCTTCTCTGGTAAATCATCTAAGTTTGTTAAAAGATTTTGGAGTTATTCACTAAAATTTACACTTTTTTTTTTCTTTTTCTGTGGGCTTTTCTAGTGTTCAATTTTGTTCTATTGCACTTTTGTATTCCTATTTGGTAATTGTGGTTTTAGAGGTGATTCAAATGGGAACCTTGATTTCTCTGTGGACTGAAACTTTTAATGATACTGAATTTTAATTTTAATCTTTCGCTTTTCGCTTTTCGCTTTTCACTTTTCACTTCTCTAACGAGGTTTGAGTTTGTCCTTACAGTATGCATCATATACCTTTACTTTATAACAATCTAATGTTTAAAAACTTTGTAATTTTCTATGCTCACATCAATAGATTGTACAAGTGACACCATCAACCTTTTTTCATGTGCATTTAGGTTGCCTTTTTCTAAGGTTGTAAAAGCATAGATATTACCTTTTTTATCTTATAAATAAAGTAGGAGCTTCAAACTTATCAGCAAAAGGAGGATGGTCTAATCTATTGCTTATCCTCAAAACTAAATGCCATCATCTACTTGAAAATTCGTGTAGAAGTGACAATTCTACTTTCTAATAGAGTCAGTTTTTATATGTTAGCCAAGTATGAATATTACAACGCTTCTATTGTAGAAGGGAAAGCAATGTGCCCTGCTATCTGTCAAAGAACATCCAAGTAAAAAATGGGATGGGTAGACCCAAAAAAAGATTTTTTATGTTAGGGTTTAGATTTTTTACCCATTTACCTAATGGGGAGGGTTGTGCTCAAGATGTTTTACCATTCCCCATATTGTTGGTCTAACTCAAACTGAACTCAACGCAACATATTATCCCTTTTACCTTGTTATATATATATATATATATATTATATGTATATTTTTTTTCCTGAAAAAGTTATTCTTCTTCCTCTGACAGTTCAGGCGGGTGGCTAACCTCTACTTTCTTATGGTCTCAATTTTATCAAGCACACCACTCAGGTATGTTAAGCCTAACAAGAGTCAGTTTATTTATTTATATTTTGAAGCATTTGAGCGTAGGTACTAGAGTAACATACAAAACAACATACTTCAGAAGATTGACCAGCTGATATTGTGCCTCATGGGATATAGTTCATGAAGGTTTTAGCAATTGTGACTAGATCTGCTTGTGTCTGCAAATTTCAATCAATCAACTTCCAACTAATTATTTGTGAATTGTTGTTGCATAAGCGGTGTTTATCTATTCCCCACTCAATATGATAGTGTTAGTCCCACCAATTAATCTTATACAAAATTTCAGATTTATTATTATTATTGTTATTTGTTTTCTTTTTTTCTTTTTTTAATTATGAAGAAGTTAGATTTCCTCTTTTCTTGTTGTTTGAAGCATTTTTTTTGAGTACTGGATCTTCATTTGCGCTTTTGTAGAAGTGTTCTGATTAAATAAATATGAAATTAACGAGGACAGCTGTATTTTTCTCAGGGCTTCTGTTGGTAAATGTGCATAGCTATGCTTGTGTCTTGTATAACTGCAATGCATTTCCTATGTTGCCTGATATGTTTCCTTATTTATGTATTACATCTTCTATGGTGCTTCCTACTTGCTTTTTGATTCCCTTTTCCCGATCTGTGGAGGTGGAGCTCTATCACTTACTGGTGGCATGGTAGGGCTTCTATTGATAATGTGTTCTGATATGCTTATGTCTTACAGTTCAACTAATTTTCTATGTTTCCTTATCAATGTATTTTGTATGTCATTTCACAATGCTTCCTACTCTTTGGCTGATTCCCTTTTCCCCGCTTGTGAACTCAATCTTCCCTGCCCATTGTAGGGCTAGATTTTATATATAGCTCGTGTACATGTGATGTGATCCCTTTAATGTTTTCATGCATTCAAACTATGAAAGAGAAAATCTAAAAGATATGGATCTATGCTTCCATAATCCATATACTGCTTCCTGCAATTGCCTTGACAACATGATGTTGAATAAGTAAGAGGGGCAATATTCTTTACAGATTTACTATTGATTTGTTTTGCCCTTGCACCTAAGGAGTTTTGTTTCATGCAGCCCTATATCTCCAATAACAAATGTGCTCCCATTGAGTGTGGTACTTTTTGTATCCCTTGTTAAAGAGGCGTGGGAGGACTGGGTGAGTACTATTAGCTCATAGACATCTGGTTTTGTTCAGTGATTTCTTCACCATGGAATGGTTTATGAAAAAGACATCATTGCATATAATTTTTGCTTAACTAAAACCTTTATTTCCTTTCTTATAATTTATCTGCACCAGAGTATGAACATCTGGAAAATTGCTTACTACCCTTATCTTTTTTATTCTTTTATTCTCCCCTACTATGTGTAACAGAAGCGTTTACAAAATGATAAGGCAATAAATAATTCTTCTGTAGAAGTGCTGGAAGATCAAAAGTGGGAAAGTGTCCCCTGGAAGAGTCTGCAGGTTGGAGACCTTGTCAGAGTAAGTACCCATGATTATGTATTTCTTCTTTTCAGCAGCGTCTTATATGATGAAATTGTTTCTCATTCGGATTTTAAAAAAGGCCTCTGATGTCTATGAATGTTGTCTGGCGGATGAAGCACCCCAAGGTATTTTGTTAGAACATGTGCTGCCAGTATTATCTCTTTGTTGCTGTCAACGGTGATTGTTTCATGTGTCATCCATTTTAGTCATTATTGTTATTATTTAATTTTATTCTCCAATTGTACTTGTCCTGTAAAAAATAAAATTATAGCATGATAGAATATATGTCATGGGAGCCTTTGTTTGTTTGAGTAGCTGGTTGGGCTATTTCGAGCATTTACTGAAGTGATTTTGCACAGCTCTAGTTGAGACTTGTGAATGAGCTATCATTGCACAGTATGACTTTTCATGACACATCTGTTGAACTTACTGTTGCCAATTTAACCATTTTACATTATTGTTGACCTGGTAACAAAATTGTTTATTTTTTCATTCTTTATCCTGTGCATTACAAAAGTAGTGCAGCCTGTAATTATGTATGGAAGTGCTCCCTACTAAGAGGAATGGTCGGGGATATAGGATATCTATACATAGTACTGAAAGTTCAAAGAGAAACAAATTACGGGCATGTCAAGGAATGTCAGTTATTTTTTACAAGAAACAAGTTGTGTCTCTCTCATGCATCACATCTTGCATTGTGCCCATGCCTGTGCCCGTGCTGCTTAGTCCGCTATAGTTTGAATTTAAAATTTAACGTCATTGACGATCTATTCATAATTAGTACTATGACTTTTCTGCTATGAACTTGAATGTTGTTGTTGCAGGTTAAGACAGACGGATACTTTCCCGCAGACCTGCTATTCCTTGCTAGTACAAATGCAGATGGTGTTTGTTACGTCGAGGTTTCTATTCATTTCTGCACTGTTCCCTTTTTGAAGAATCTTGTTCTTTTTTTCTTTTCAGAACTGCACATGATTCCTTTCAAAAGGATCGAACAGTTTGTTGATGTTATCCCATGTTTCCTGATTGCCCTTTTTTGTTTTTTGCATCCCCTTAGTGTCATTTATTTTATTTCATGCGTTTCAGACTGCTAATTTGGATGGTGAAACAAATTTAAAGATCAGAAAAGCATTGGAAAAGACTTGGGATTATGTGACTATTGAGAAAGCTTCCGAATTCAAAGGTTTTTCCTTTCTGTCACTCATCAGTTTTGTGTGTTTGGACCGTGGACCGTGGTTCACTTTAATTGATTTTAAAGAACAGCCATGGAACAATGGACAAGGCCCTCAACACCACTATCATATTATATGCATGAACACAATTTCCAGCAAATCATTTGGTTTTCATTTAGACATATACAGGTTTTTGTGAGAATTGATGTATTATTGATTGATGTATATTGTATATTACAAATGGTGAGGGGCTCCTTATATAGGAGATGTAGTGGAGCAGGTGGTTGTGGTAGGTGTGTAGTAGGTGGTAGTAGGTGTAGTAGGTGGAGTAGGTGATGGTAGTTTTTAACAACCCCCGCAAACTCAAGGGGGATAGGAACTAACCAACTTGAGTTTGGAGAGAGTAACAAAACAAGAAAATAATCTGAAAAATAAAAAATGTATAGGAGACACTGTATGGTCGTGTCAGACCGTTGTAGAAGACTGTATGGTTATGGCAGACCGATGTAGAAGACACTGGCTCGTGTTGGACCGATGTAGAAGACAGTTTATGGGGTCATGTCGGACCGTTGGGACCGTTGTAGCAGACAATGTTGTGACAGTTGGTGTGACAGTTTACAGAGTCTTGCTGGACCCTTGTAGAAACTAACCGGAATCAATGTCGGGACAGTTTACAGAGTCTTGTCGGACCCATAAAGGAGCTAACCGGAATCAATGTCAGGA